AGTGGGAGAATTCCATGTCCACATCCAGGAAGGATATGGTTGGAGCAGAGAGGATTGCAAAGGGCACTCTATTGGCACATAGAAGCTCGCGTGGTATTGGATCTTCAAGAACTTCTCAAATCTGTAAGCAGCTTACTTCTCAATCTCATAGAATGTATTTACTAGACAGTAACAATAACTGTTATTACACGAGTACTTGTTAATAAATTATATTTGAAATTAAATAATAATAACAACTAAAACTGTTTTTTGAAAAAATATATTGTTATTTATATGTAAAATGACACCATCACCAACTTATATTGTGATTTTTTTTAATTTATATCAGATAACTATTTTGTAGTTAAGTTAGTATAAATAATTTTTTTTTTCGAATTAATATTAATAGGTAATTTAATTTTCATTATAAAGATAAATAAAATTATTTATTTATTTTGTATGTATAATATGGATGTCAAATCGAAACTCATCAAGACATGATTAATTTGACATATTATATTTAAAAAAATTAATAAATAAAAAATTTATTAACTTTTAATTATATTTATAATTTAACTTAGTAAATTTGTTATAATTTTAAAAGAAATATGAGGAAAAAAGAAATATTGAGAAAAAAATTATGCCTTCTAAACTCTTAAAAAGGACCATAAATTAATACTCTTAAAAAAGGACCATAATTATTTAGTATATTTATGGATATTCCAAGCCTAGTTACTTTTGGATTGGAAATAAATTAAATTTCATCCAAGTCAAACAACAAAGCTTAAAAATTTGCCACATATGATCCCGAAGCGTGCGAGTCTATCACTTAGGCTCAGCACATTCGAGAATAATATATAGGCGGGATATTTTGTAATGTTACTGACAAGTCGAGATATTAGAAGGGCAACTAGCCCGGGCTAGCCTGCAAATATATATATATACATATGTGTGTATGTGTGTGTGATATTTCACCAAACACCTTTACTTACTAACAAAAAAATTCTATAGAATTTTTTATTCTTTTCCTTTTTAGAATTATATTATCTTGGAGATAAAAATAATTTCTTTATAACTACTGAAATTGATTTATAAATAATTGTTTAAAAATATATAAAATAATAGTTATAACAATTAATTTGTCTAATTTTCTATATAAAATGAGAATGTAATTTATTTTGAAAGCACTTTTTTCGTTATAACACCATCGTTTATGATATTTAATAACTTATATATAACATACTACAAAAATATTAATTAGTATGCAAAATATATGTGCTATGTAGTAACTAATGTTTATATCGAGTCTTCGTGTCAATTGCATAATCAATAAATTAATTTTAACTTTTTAAATATTATTATGTTTATTTAATCTTTTATAAATATGCATAAAATAAGAAATAATTAATTTATCTTTAAATATATAATTTATAATCTTAATATATTGTCATTTGTTATAAACATTTACTACATAAACCGTAAAATACTTTTTATTTCATAAAACTAAATACATTTAAGGAACATAAGAAAATCCCTTTGAATCAATCGGGTAACTTAGGTTACTGTACAGGTTGATTGAATTACTTTTATATACTATTTAAAATAGTCCAAACACATGACACGACTAGGGTTGATCAAGTTATGAGTCAATTTTGTCAAACCAAATCGATCAATGAAACTAGATATAAATTTTAGTGTTAAAAATATTTTATTATGACAAAGGTAATGTAGTCCAAGCTTTAAATAATCACTAGTATTCAATCTTGTGCATATGCACAAATGTTTAAATAATTTTAATTTAAATGTATTTATATAATATTAAAATTATAAGTTGGATAATAGTATCACATTTTAAAAATTTTGTCATTATTAAAAATGAACATTATAAAAATATTTAATTTCATCACTATATTGATTGCATAAAATGAAATGGATAATGTAGTTTTATAAATTTGAGAGAACCCTACTTATTAATTTATCTTAAAAATTATTATTATTATTATTATGAAATTTTAAGAGGTTTGGTTATACTACTATAGCCAATTAGCTTATTAAAATGCTTAAGAGCAATAAATAGTTTAAGAAATAATTTTTCAATATAATATTATGTATTTGTTGAACTTCTATATATCATGTAGTGTGAATTATAATTAGTTAGTTTTAGTAATCACTATTATATAATAAAATAAATAAAAACATGATTACTTTAATTAATCGTTATTTAAAAAATTCATTGATTAAGTTTTAGTTACTTTTTTTTAAAAAAAATTATATTAGATTTTAACGGAAAAATGTGAAAAATTCAAATAGTTTTATTAAATTTTTTGTTAGCAATTACATATATAGATCAAATATTCATTGATTAGTAGTTGTTTAAGGTTTTAATTATAAAAAAATAATAAAGTAAACATGTTTTTGTAACTTCTTTTGGATGGAAAATAAATGAAGTTTTATTAATTGCTAATAATCATATTAAGAATGTTTTTATGACAACATGTTCAATAATTTTATATTTATATATTACTTTATTAATATTTATGTGTACTAAATGATATTGTAAAATTTTATTAATTTACATAAATCCAAGGTTCCTAGAACTGGTCCGTCATCACACTGATCAAGTTATTTATTCAGTGATTTATTGATTAGACCAGGGTTTGATTTACTCATATCCAATTATTTAAGAAACAAATTCAACTCAATGTCAAAATCGTGTGCAACTTTTACAAGTCAAAATTGTGTATAACTTTTCAAAATTTGAATGCACCGATTTTATTGGATTCTTACGTTTTTTTTTAAACATGTTTTACCAAAATTTTGATAAGTTCATATCAAGTTTTTAGGAAAGAAATAATTGCATAAATCTTAACAAATTATTCTGAATTGTTAATAGATTTTATTTTAATTCAATTTATTTGATAAACAAATTGGTAAAATGATAGGAAATTTCAGTTGCATTTTTAGTAAAAATTGATGGTTCTTTTCACTCCGTTTTAACCAAATTTTCGGATAAATTTGGTAAAAAAATCGATGTATTGGTAGAAAAATTGGGTTTCATTTTTAGGAAAACTAATGATTGTTTTCAATTTTTCTTAATCTAAATTTTGAATTAAATTAAAAATAAATTAAAATAGCGTGAATATCCCTAAAAATCTCTACAATTTTAGATAAAATTCGAACACCCATGTAGTACTTTACGTGCCAAAGAATCAAACCAATAATGTTGTACTTTGAAGTGTTCAATAATATATAAATTTTATTTTCATGATATTTTTAATGCAATGAGACAATTTATATACAAAAATATCTTTTAAAAAATAAGTAGGTAATAAATACTCCCGTGCATCGCACGGGTGCTGTACTGGTATATATAAGGTTCTTGGAAAAATACAATTATAGCAAGTTTGACTAAAAAAAATAAATGGTTTGACTTTCTATTAGTAGAAATTTCAAAAAAACACATGTGAATCTTTAGTAACAAAGTCGAAATTCCATTTTTTCTTTTTTGTAACAAATTTGGAGATTCTTATGCCAAAATCTGAAGTCCATTTTTTTCGTATCATTTTTTTTTAATTTTTTACTAAAATCTGATTCCCATTTTATTTTTTTTTATTTTTATTTTTTTTTTGTAACAAATTTGAAGTACAACTCTTTAGCTTGGGTTCCTCCCTTTTGTGATTGTTAATTTATTCTTAAGTTCTGGAAAAACAATTGATGCCTGCACATTGTTTTGGTGAGCAAGATTAAAAGGGAATGAAGATATGTTGAGTGTTCTTTTCTCGAAAGCATCATTTTTTTTTTTTTTTTTTTTTTTTTTATGTTATTTCTTAACCATGTTTTACCGAGATTTTGACAAATTCATATCAATTTATTTGATAAGTTCATATCAAGTTTTTTAGGAAAGAAACAATTGCATAAATCTTAACAAATTAGTCTAATTTTTTATTAAAATAAATTTCAATTCAATTTGTTTGATAAAAAAATCGGTGCAATGATAGGAAAATTCAGTTGTACTTTTAGGAAAATTTGATGTTTTTTTTCACTTTGTTTTAACCAAATATTCGGATCAATTTGTTTGGTAAAAAATTGTTGTATTGGTAGAAAAATTGGGTTTCATTTTTAGAAAAATGTAATGATTCTTTTCAATTTCTCTTAATCAAAATTTTGAATAAGATTTAAAAAAAAATTAAAATAGTATGAAAATGCCTAAAAATCTCTACTGCTTTCTACTATAATTTTATTTCATAAATAAGATACCTTAATTTAAAAAAAAAACGTAATTTGTTAACTAATAACTCATAATACGCAAATTTAGATAAAATTCGAACACTCATATAGTACTTTACGTGCTAAAGAATCAAACCAAGAAAGTTGTCCATAAGAAAGTGTTCCATAATATATAAATTTCATTGTCATGATATTTTTCATACCATGAGGCAATTTATATACAAAAATACCTTTTTAAAAAATAAGTAGATAATAAATGCTCCAGTGCATCGCACGGGTTATATATAAAGAGTCAACCTATTTACCAAAAATAGTAACAAGAAAAGTCAACCAGCATTTGTTGCATTATATTTTTGGCAATTTTTGAATTTCCTTTTTAAATTATTCCCAAAAAATCGATCAGCTACATATGTACCCTAAATTCATGGGTTTTGTGGATTTAATTTAGGTAAATTTGGACTGATGCTTACAATTTTGCAAAAGTCAAATCAATTTTTTGTTTTTCTTCTTTCTCTTTCAATAAGTTCCTCTATGCTTCTTGTGGAATTTCAACATTTCTAGTAATTCAGGAGACCCATCGTGAACTTCACTTTTCAATGGTCGACGGAGATTTCAAGAAATTTGAAGGCAAATGGTCAGTGAAGTCTCGGAAAGGGTATATATGCTGCACATTTCTTTCATTTTATATTGTTTCAAGCCTAAATCCATGGTTTGGAATATAATGTTTTAAAGTTAGAACATGAATTTAGCCATTATGTTGATGATGCACTCAATCTGCAAACTATGCAAAGAGTTGAAATGGGAACACATATCCCTTTCACGGTCATAAGAAATTGAACCATCTATCATTAAGAGAAAAAAAAAAGAAAAAAAATGAGAAAAAGAGTGTCACATCATTGTTTCATGTCTAGCATAGCTACTCATTTGATCACTTTTTACTGATGATCTAGTCCTATCATCAGAACCTAAAATAAGTATGCCCCCATTATGATTTTCACAGCATTAGATAACCTAAATTTACTGATCCATTTGCTAGATATCCTGATGAATGGCCATGTGAGGTTTTTTGCAATATTAAGGGTGTGATTGGGCAATCCCTACTAGAAAAAAATAAAAAAATAAAAAAATAAACTAACTAAATAAATATAATGTAACTAAAATATGGATTTGATTGTTTTTTTTTTTTTTTTTTAACTAGAGTTAACTTTGAAAAGATAGTATGGTTAGTTGTTAGTCGTAATTTAAGAATAAATTAAAATACTATTCAAAATAAAATTATTAAAGTTGATTTGATGTAAAAGTAGGAGAAAAATGATTGGAAGTGATGGTTAGTTAAAATTATGTGAGTGGATAAATAGTAATTAAAGTCATGTGCAAGAATGATAGGGTGATATTAGTTAATTATATTGATAATATTGAGGATGGTGGGGTTGAGTTAAATTTGAGTTTTAATTGGTTAAGTTTATAACCAATCACACCCTAAGTAGTTCACTTTGACCGAGATTGGACAAATGCTCATCATGACTTATGTTGAGAATCAAGATTGTTGAAGATCAAAATCAATCAAATTGGTTGTCTTGATTTAGTGGAATTTTTCAGTTCTTTTTCCCTTTTTGTTTCCTTTGTCTATGTATCTTCTTCCTGTGTTTACTCCTTTATAACTGTGATATTTTAATCCTTAGAGTGGAATGGAACTCTTATAGCCCTTAGGATCGTTTGTCTATGGACACAGGCCAAATGGCTGAACCACGTCAGATCTTACTTTCTCAACTGTTTCTTGCTTCAAAAATATCTTGAGAGATTGAATCATATACATGTAATGTCATCTGAATTTCCTCTCCCATTTTGAAGGTCCTCCTCAACAACTTTGGGATATGAAGTGAATGTTATACCAACTTTCAACTTTCCCGCAATATTTCTGGAGAGAATTATAAGCTCAGATCTTCCCGTAAATCTCCAGGCCTTAGCATTCAGATCCGAAACCGATTTCAAAGGGAACCTGAATACAGTCTCTCAAGGTTCTTTGAATCAGCACTCTCTCTATTGTGGAAGCACCAAAATAGAAGGTTCCACTTCTCAAGGTATCAAGGATAAGTTTGTCAAAGCTGCTTTGCCCTCTTCCACTGGTGAGTTAAACAGCCACTGGGGAATATTTGGGAAATCTTGTCCGCTCGACAGACCATGCATGGTGGATGAAGTTCACCTTCGTAGATTTGATGGATTATTGGTAAGCCGATTGAATATTTCTTTACAACTGTGCTTTTGGGTAACCAATATTGATCAACATGTTTCGGGGATGAAGGAAAATGGAGGTGTTCATCGATGTGTTGTTGCCTGCATAACAGTAAAAGCTCCCGTTCGGGAAGTGTGGAGTATTTTAACTGCGTATGAAAGTCTTCCTGAGTAAGTTAAATTGGCTCTATTCTGGAAAATACATCTATTAAGTCTTTCCAGTTTATCATCAAGAAGTGTTGTGCTCTTGAAATGGTTTAGTATGCATGTTTCAAGAGATAAGTTACTGGGAATTTGATAGTGGGGGAAATTTGATGGGTGCTTTCGGTTGATGTTGTTATTTCTAATTGTAGACTAATTAAATTACCAGACCTGAAGCCACTTGCATAGGAATTTTATTAGCCTGTCTTTCTAATCTAATGCAGGATAGTTCCTAATTTAGCTATCAGCAAGGTTTTATCTCGGGAAAATAATAAAGTTCGCATTCTTCAGGTACAGAAGCATGCATTTCTTCCCAATTTTTTTTAGGTATCAATCCTATTATCCTTGAAACATAGTCAGTACTTAATCTGCTACCTCTAATCCTGTTTTAAATAATTAATATAAAATTAAGGCTACGCTGAACAGGGAATCCACATCTTAATATTTGGTCTCTGCTTGTTAACTAAAATATTTTTGATCTACTATCACATTCTATGTTACTCAATTTATTCCTGAATTTAATTGTTTGGCTCTGTCATCCCCTAGAAACTACCTTTAGATAACATGTAGACCATATTTTGATAGTTTTAAAAGGTTAATTACTATGATTTGTAGGAAGGTTGCAAAGGTTTGCTGTATATGGTTCTCCATGCCCGTGTTGTGCTTGATTTGTGCGAGCTTCTTGCACGAGAAATCAGTTTTGAGCAAGTTGAAGGAGACTTCGATTCATTTCGAGGGAAATGGATTCTGGAGAAATTAGGCACTCACCATACGCTGTTAAAGTATTCGGTAGAGTCAAAGATGCACAAAAACTCTTTTCTTTCAGAAGCTATCATGGAAGAGGTTTGCTCTCTCTGCTTAACTGCCTTTCCATTTGTATTCTCACTCGTCTGCATTATCTTGTTTGAAAACTGGGAAGCACATGATTTATATTTTATAAGTTTTTGATATCTTAAAAATTATTTTGTTGGTTATATGTCAGTATATTTAAGGGTGTATATTCGTTTGAGATTTTGAGAGCTTCTCCAACCCTGAAATGTTTACTCCAAAGTAGTGTGAAAAAACTTGCTCCAATGTTGCTCTACATTTTCACATTGCGCTATATGTAGCGTGGTACTAATCACCGCGCTACAATTTTTTTTCTTCAAGTTTTAGTTTTTTAATTGATTTTTATTTCTAAATATTATTTTGATAAAATATACATCAATAAAATTATTTATTTTGTTAAATAATTTAAAATTTTGATTTTATAGTTGTATTTAAATTTTATTTTGAGATATATTTCATGTCAAATAAAATGTAGCGCGAACTGCTGGAGATGAAAGTTAAATTTTGGCAATCCTCCACACTAGAGTAGAGTAAAGATTGGAGATGGTCTAAGTGACATTTTGAGACTTTTTAAGATTGTCAAATTTAGGATGGTATCTTGTGAATCTTAAGTCGGGAGGTGTGATTTAGAGCGAGATTTGGCATAGGGTTTTTTTGTTTTAAAATGTCACTAACTTATCCTCGTTTCAACGGGTATGGATGTTTCTTATGATATCATCAAAATTAAAATGAAATAAAATAACTCTTTAACCATCTATCATAACTAAACAAAAAACTAATATATCTATAATATACCTTATGTCCTTATTAATGTCTTTATTTAGTTATTTTGTGAGAAAAAATACATTACGAGCTCATTTATTCTACATTTTATTTCGTTTACGCAACTTTATTTTTAATAAATTAATTTAATATATTTTACTAAACTTAATCAACCAAAGACATTCACTACCACGTGCATGGCATGTGCAGTTTATTTGTATATATATATATATATATATATATATATATATATATATATATATATATATGCCATGTTTTGATTAGAGCTTTATATTAATGATCTATTACAGAAGTGTTTGAAGTTAACTAAAATCGATGATTTTGTATTTTGTAATCTCGTGAGTCCAATTGGTTCGACTCAAGTTTAAAAAGTATATTATATGTCACACTAACCGAGAAATGCTATGGAGCCAAATACCAATGTTATAGTGCCACGTAGGCCATGTGGAATTAATTATTTTTTCACATGGCCTACGTGGCACTATAACATTGGTGGTTGGCTTCATAAAGGAGCCAACCATTGGCTCCATAGCATTTCTCCATACTAACCTACTGGTTTGATATTACGTCACATGCCTATAGATTCTATTTTAATGGAGTTTCCTGTTTTTCAGGTCATTTACGAGGATCTTCCTTCAAATTTGTGTGCTATTCGTGATTACATTGAAAAAAGAGAGATGGAAAATCATCAGGACACGGCCAGCAACAACAGTTATGCAGAGAGAATGATGGCTTTACCGAACAACAGAAGCTCCTGTAATTATAGTATGGAAGCTGAGAATTCCAACTGCAAATCCAGTTTATCAAGGCAAAAACCAAAAGTTCCAGGCTTGCAGAGAGACGTGGAAGTTCTTAAATCTGAGCTCTTGAATTTCATTTCTGAACACGGACAGGAAGGATTTATGCCCATGAGAAAGCAGCTAAGGAAGCATGGACGGGTAGACATTGAGAAGGCCATCACTCGCATGGGCGGCTTTAGGAAAATTGCATCATTGATGAATTTGTCCCTTGCTTACAAATGCCGAAAACCAAAAGGTTACTGGGATAATCTTGAAAATCTGCAAGAAGAGGTTAATTAAGTTTCTTGCATTACTTTCATCCCTTGTTTTTTTTCATTTTTTCCTTCTATTACTAAGGTTTTTTTATTATATATATATATATATATATTTTAACTTTTCCTTCTAATTTTCGTTTGGTTGTGTCATCACCCTCTGTAATCTTTATTACTTGCTTTTATCATTCAGATTAATCGATTCCAAAGGAATTGGGGTATGGATCCATCATTTATGCCAAGCAGAAAATCCTTTGAACGTGCAGGTACTACTTACTCTGTTCACTTCCTGGCACCGACTGACTACAGAATAACTGAAGAAATGAAAGAAGAATTTTTTTTTAAAAAAAAATAAAAAATAGATAGAGAAATGAAATAAAGAGAATAGATTATTTGTTTTATTACACTACAGCAAGGCGCGATTAAACAAAAAAGGGTTTTGCGTATTCCAATATTTGAGCTGGTAATAGTTTGTTTTAATGCAGGTCGTTATGACATTGCTCGTGCTTTGGAGAAATGGGGAGGGCTACACGAAGTGTCACGTCTTCTGTCTCTCAAAGTGAGGCATCCTAACAGACAAGCTGCCTTATCCAAGGAAAACAATAAACCTGAGTACCTCATCTCTAACAATCTCAATTTTAAGGACAAAATATCCCCACAACCACACACTTCACAAGATACACACACCTGGCTAATGAAGCTCAAAGACTTCGACATAAATTGGGTAGAATAATGTGCATGCTGTCTACTCTAAATTTATAACTACATAGTGGCTACATCTCTGCTAACATTACCCATGTTTTTCAACTAGGAAGATGCATGTGATTATATAATTTTTTTTTATTTAAAATTTTGTTATTTTATTTGGTTTATACCTGTATTATATATAGTTTTTTTGGTTGTTTTAATAAAAATAGGATATATTTTATATTAATTCATATAAATATATTGATTGCTGGAAAATAATCTCCAATGTATAAGTTAAAACTTTTTAAAAATTTGAAAAAAAAAAAATTGTTGAAAATTAGAAAAATAAAATCAGTGATTTCTTGATGAACTATTGATTGTTAGAAAAGTCTTGTTTGTCTCTGATTTTGCTAATTAACGGTTGTCACCGTTGCTTGAAGTCATGACCTCGCGGTGTTATCCGATATATAGTTTTCCTTTATCATTGTTGTCTGTAGTGGTTAATTTTGAATTGTTAGTTGAAAGAAAATCAACTTTTATTATAATGTCCTCTTACTCCTTTTTCAATCACTAGTAAAGTGCACGTGCGATGCACGTGATAGATAATTTATATTTTAATGTGATTTTAAATTATATTTTCTCTTTTATATTTTTATGATCTAATCTATTTTTTGCATTACTATTTTCAATTAACCAAACACAAGAAGTACATTAACATAATGGACAATGTCAAATATATTGAAAGTTGAAATACAATTTGAAAATAATAATATTTAAAAGTAATGGTTAAAAACATTGCATGAAAATTTTGGTTCAGAAACCTCCATTATCTAAGTTAGTCATGTTTATTCAAAATCTTTTTTGTTTGGGGAAGATTGACAAATATGAACAGTAAAACTAAATTAAAATATTTTACATGAATAATTGCATGTGATAGTTTACAATGTTGTTTTTTTATCTTGTTGAAGGGGATCATTCTTTGTCATTATTTTTATTGACTATATACAACAGTTATAATTCAACTGACGTATGTTAGCAAAGTTTTTAAATATTATTCATTTTATCTTCCCTTTTTTCCAGTAAAATAGTTTCCGTATTATTTTTTTTTTCATTTGATCTGATTAATTATAATTATTTTCATGAATAATAAATATATATTAAAATTCAAGTTTTGGTCGAATTTTTAAATTTTTTTCATTCAAATACAATTATATTTTTCATGAACCATTACAAACATATGGTACACAATTTGATTTAGATTTAAATAATTTTAAAAGATAATTCAAAAACATTAAAATAATTATTTGGTAAATTATATTTTATTTTTTGCTTAAGAAATAAATTGATTTAAATTAAATATTCATATTAAGTATAATTAGCGATAGTTTTGGCTTTCAGGTCACATTTAATGCTAAAATAATTACGATTGAATAACTTGTGTAAATATCAACCAGTTAATGTGTAGTAAACCACATAAATTATATAATCATAAGTTCATAACTACAAAACCTTAAAATTTCCTCAAATACGTGATGTAGATGAACCATAATATTATAAACTTTGTCGAATTAAATATATATACACATATAGACATGGAAAATTTTTCGTATAAACGTACCAAATATAATTTTTTATTCATTCAGGTTGTATTTATATATCATATGATATCTTCGGTTAGATGTAATGTCATTTACTTGATAATTTATCATAAAATTTATTGATTAAATACTTATTAAGTTATTTTAGTTCACATAAATTCTTGTATGAGACGGAATAGCTATTAGGCGGGTTGATCCTTTGTACTTTTTTTTTAATAAAATTATATACGTATGCAATAAATCATTAAATTTTTATTTATGTTGGCTTTCAAAGTATAATAATTCAATTTGAGTGTAGTATATCTTTTTGGAAATGTATGAATGTTTAATCGTTAGATCTTCCTAACAATATTTTTAATATTATACTATATTTTATTATAAATATGAAAAAATGTTAAAAATAAAAAAACATGTTAGAGTTTCTATAGTAATCTTGTTAACTCATTTTACATTATTACACGATTTTTCCCGCTACCAACAATGAAGCTGAATACGAAGCATTGTTGTCGGGGCTAAAACCTGGCAGAGGCTATGAACATAACTTACATCAACATCTTTTCAGACTCACAACTGCTAGTCAATCAGATACTTGGAATTTTTGAAGTTAAAGAACCACGCCTAATGCCATATCTAGCGATAGCCATGAAGATGTTATCCAAGTTTCAATTCAAGATTGAACACATCCCACGGACTTCTAATGTTCAGGCTGATGCCTTGTCACACCTTGCTTCAAGTGCACGAATCGAAGACGTAGAGTACGTTCACGTCGGCACTCAGGAACTTCCCTCAACCTCAGTAAAGCAAATTGCTAACACCGAGCCAGGTTCCGTAAACCGAATTGTCACCTGGATGGATCCCATTATAGCGTACCTCGAAACCGGTGCTCAACCACAGGATCCCAAAGAAGCACGAACTTTGTGAATTCGTGCAGCTCGGTTCACTCTGGACAACGGAACGCTTTATAAAAGAGGATACTCAGTCCCGCTGTTAAAATGCGTACCCGAGCAAGAATCACTCTTCATACTGCAAGAAATCCATGATGGAGTTTGTGGGAGTCATTCAGGATCTCAAGCTTTAGCCTATAAGATTCTGAGACAAGGGTACTACTGGCCGACTCTGAAAAGAGATGCTGCAGATTGGGTCAGAAGGTGTGTCAAATGTCAAATATTCGCACCCAACGTTAACTTGACTCCAGAACCACTCAGGTCGGTATTCAGTCCGTGGCCTTTTGCAAAATGGGGGATCGATCTAATTGGGCCCTTACCAATTGGAAAGGGAGGAGTTAAGTATGCGGTCGTCGCAGTCGACTACTTTACTAAATGGGCCGAAGCAGAACCGTTAGCCACGATCACAGAACAGAAAATGATTGATTTCATATGGAAAACATTAGTATGTCGGTTCGGTGTTCCAAATTCTATCGTAACCGATAACGGCAAACAATTTGAGGGCAAGAGACTCGCAGAATTTTGTGAAGAATACAAGATCAGGCACTTCTTCTCGTCTTCATATCACCCACAGGCAAACGGTCAAGTTGAAGCTGTGAACAAGATCATAAAAAATGGTCTCAAAGTTCGATTAGACAGTGCGAAAGGAGCTTGGCCTGAAGAACTCCCCAACGTTCTTTGGTCATACCGAACTACTGCTCGATCCTCAACCGGTGAAACACCTTTTTCACTAGCTTATGGGTCAGAAGCAATGATTCCTGTTGAGCTTGGGTCCCCAACATATCGTGTGCAGAATTTTGAAGAAGAACACAATCAAGTTAATATGAGAGCCAATCTTGACTTAGCAGATGAACTACGTGCACAAGCCGAACTCAAAAACGCCGCCTATAAACGAAGAAGCGAAAAATACGTTAACTCTAAACTTCGCTCTCGTCAATTTAAGATCGGTGACCTCGTACTCAAAAGAATTGTGGGACCCGACCCTGGACCATTCCGGATAAGCGAAGTTCTAACCAACAGGGCTTATCTGATAGAGTATTTGGATGGGACGCCGCATCGATACCCATGGAATGCACAATATTTGAAAAAATTCTATCAATAAGAAAGACCAAGTGTCTTAAGTCGGTTTTGTAACTGACGTTCTGTAAAAAAAGACCAAGTGTCTTAAGTCGGTTTTTTAATTGACGTTCTGTAAAAAAGACCAAGTGTCTTAAGTCGGTTTTTTCAAACTGACGTTCTGTAAAAAAGACCAAATGTCTCTAGTCGGTTTTTCAACTGACGTTCTGTAAAAAGGCCAAATGCCTCAAGTCGGTTTTTTCAACTGACGTTCTGTAAAAAAGACCAAGTGTCTAGTCGGTTTTTCAGCTGACGTTTTGTAAAAAGATCCCAAGTGCCTAAAGTCGGTTTTTAACTGACGTTCTGAAAAGAGGTCCTAAGTGCCTCAAGTCGGTTTTTCTACTGACGTTCTTATAAAAAGGCTTTAAGTACTTAAAGTCAGTTTTTCAAACTGACATTTAAAATAAAGTACTTTAAGTCGGGAAGCGATTTAAATAAATTCAAGTCAGATAAGGAACCAACATAATTCAAGGTTACTGACAAATGCAACAATGCGCGAAAAAACGAATAAATCGTTGGAAGGGAAAATTTTTATTTCATATTCGAATAAAACATGTTCTTACAGATTGAAAGGAAAATGCAAAGGGATGTGCCAACGTAATGGTCCACATCGAAAGGCAAATGCAAAGGGATGTGCCAACATAATGGTCCACATCCTAAAGAAAATTGAAGAAACAACAAAAGCCAAAGTCGTCTATCATTTAAACAGGATCCTTTCCAACATCAACATCCTTCTCGATCTCGACTTGGGCACCTCCTTGAGTCTGCTCGACCTCAGTCTGAAAATCTCCCTTGTCCTTGACAAAACCGACTTTCGAAATGTCCGCATCCTTTGGGATCTCCTCGTCATTTTCTGGGATCTCGGAACCATCTTTAACCACTTGACTCAGCCTGGAATAAATTGCAGCATCCATGGCCTGAGGATCTGGGATAATCTTAACTTTGGCGGCATGAACGTCACCAATTCCCCTCACCAGCTCGGTTCCCTGTAAGTTCTCTTCGGCTGCAGTGGCAATAAACTTCTCCGCATATTCCACAACTTCTTTCTTGATCTGATCCGGGGTCAGCAAATCGAGATGATGTTCGACAGTAAAGTCAGCAAGGGTGGAGATGAATACGTTGGCAAATTCTGCCCTTTTTTCTTTCTCTCCTTCAAGGACCATGTTGACGTATGCCTTTCGAAGCGCAGCTCGCCTATTAGAATCCAAAGGAGGATACCCACGAGCTACAACGTCGGCGTCGGTGTTCGCTAATACCATCTCACAATAGGCACGTTCATCTTCATCAGCAGGAACATGAATTTCTTCAATCTCGGGATCAAACCCAAACCTTTCCATCTTCATGAGCATGATGGCCTTTAGATCCCCGACACCATAAAGCCCTGAATCAAACCGATCAATCACCCAGCGAAGGTTTAAGCAAGAATTGAGCTCGATATCCTTTTCCATCTCCTCAGAACCCTTGAACTCTTGTTTCCCGAGTTCCTTGCCTTCCTCTAATCCCTGCGCATACTTGAATTCTCCAAAAGCATCCTTCTCTTTCTCCAACTTCGTCACCTCGGTAGCATGAGCCTCGGCCAGGCGTATCAGTTGCGCTTCCTTATCAGCACGGTCTTGGCGAGTTTTCTGGTGCTCCTCCCGAGTTCGTTGATGGTCTTCTTGCTCCTTCAAGTAGCAATTCAGATTATTCCTGACTTCCACCTCAGACACGCCGATCTGTGCAGTAAGTTTGCGCACCCCGTCTTCTAGACGCTTCTTTTTGCCGTTCAAATCTTCAATCTCAGTTTTTGCGGCAACAAGTTGAACAGATTTTTCTTCAACCTCGGTCATCAGAGTAGCCTTGTCTGCCTCCAAAGATGCAAGTTGCCCATCACGCAATTCCAGTTTGTCTTTCCGATCATTAAGTGCAGTCGCATTCATCCGGAACTCGTCTTCCATCGCGCAAAGGCCGACTAAAGCTCTTCCTAATGTAGCCTTAGCATAGCTGAATCTGTAACTGCTTGGTAATCCGGACACTCGCGCTTCAGTTGTAGGGTCCCATGACATTAGGGGGACCCGAGCTGCTTCTATCACATGGGGGGGTGATGAAATTTGTTGTTAAATTTGGGGATAATCATCGAGTGAAATTGTGTGAACCATTTTTCCATCACATCCTCTGGCAAATTCAGGTCCAGGATCCGTTCCTCATCAATAGGCAGATAGGTATCCCCTCCATCCTGATGGACTGGAGCATTCTTTTCCAAATTGAGTTGACCAACATCTTGTCTTGACTTCGAACGACATTCTTAGTCGATATCAAACTCCTCGCTCGCTTTCCTTTTGGACTTCTTCTTCTTCTTTTTCTGTCGAGAGGAGGCTTCTTCCGCTGTTTTTTGAACCGCCTCGACATCCTCCGAACTTGACACAATAACATGGAGGTCAGGATGTACTGCTTCAGTATTTTTCTCAGCTTCACGAGGAGGAGAATGGGTGGCAACCACAAGTTCGGTATTTGTCTCGGGAAGGGGCTCTGCAACAGGTTCACTAGCAGGGGCCGATACTGCGACTGTAACCAGTGGAACCGACGTGGTCCCAACGTCATCACCCGCAGCAACACGATCAACAGATTTCTTCTTCAGACTTTCCAGAAAGTTCATACGACCCATCTCGGTATCTTTTACTGAAAACTTACGTCGGTAATCTTTTGCTTCCCGAACAGATTGGAATCTAAAGAATCCTAATAACGGGTAATAAACTGAAAGGAAAGGACAATAACAGAATCATTTCAATCTTCAATGAATTTACCCGGTTCAAAGTCGTAAATTAAGCAATACCATAAGAACTCACCAGGTTCAAAGTCAGAGATTGCTTTCTTGGGTCCGAGTTTAGCGTCAGCAAGTTTAGAATTCTTCGTCAATAGATTCCACTTGCGTTCCGAAACACTAAGCTTTGCAATATCCTCAAGCTTTTCTCTAAACTCACCGCTTAATCTCGGCTCTTTTTTCCTTTTGGCTACAAATACGAAAAGGTCCAACCTGTTAGCGAAAGAAAAACAACTCGTCAGGAGATTCTGGGTAAAAGAAAGGAACTTACAGAAAGAAGAAACAACTCGGGTTGGGATGGTCATCCCATCAATTGGTGCTTCAAGTCGGAAATCGGAAGACTGCCAATCTCCACCAACCCTCAACCACTCGTCTTGGAAACCGTGAAGGGTTTCAGGAATCCCAGTAATTAGCTGTCCTATCTTCAAGTCGTATTGCGGCCTCGCCGCACAGAAAAAACAGCCTGTTGGGGGAACTCCTTCACGCTCCCTACTTCTCTTAAAGAGAAAAATACTTCTTAACTCGTCGATCGAAGGGAATGAAAATTTCTTTTGTGCCAGAAGGACCATAATCCCTATAATTTTCTTCCAGCTGTTGGGAGTAATCTGACTAAGGCTGAGACCCCAATCGCGCAAGTAGTCAGTTATTACGTTGTCTAAAGGAAATCTCAAGCCCGACCTCAGACTTTCGGCAAAAATCCCCACACAACCGGGAGGAGGACAATGAATCCTTCCTCCTGGATAAGGAGCAAAGATTCGCACCGAGTTAGGGATTCGTACCGACTCGCGAAGAAGAACTACATCAGCATCAGTCATGGTGCTGGGCTCTCCAAGAAACAGAACATCATCGTCGGGCCATCGTCGAGTAGGGCGATTCCAATAACCCGACCTCACGGGGACATCTCGTTCCACCTCGGCATCTCCTTCAACATTGTGCTTACGGATGTCTAAACGTTCCACAAAAACAGGGTCCTACCGGTAATAATCCCCCATCAACTCCTCATCCAACCTCACGTCTGACACAGTTCAACTGCTACTGCTTGGCCCAACGTGCTCACCACTCACCGCCATAATCACGACCAAGAAAAACAACGCAAAGGGATTACGAAATGAAAAGAAGAAATTAGGGCTTACCGAAAAGTGAAGTAAACTCTCAAGGAATTCTGGATTTGTCGAAATATGAAGAAAAAATGAAAAGAAAGAGGCGAAAAATAATGGAATAATCGGAAAGATGGAAAGTTGCTTGAATGAAGATTTCGTGAAGAGGGACTGTGAACTTATCTGTATATATACGCGATATTTTCTAACCGTTGAAGATGGAGGGGCGCATGAGAAACCGTCGCGTCGTTTGAAGGAAATTCCCCTTTATTATGACACAAAGTTCAGGTATAATCTCGTACATACGCGTGTCCCGAAACCGTCAACATTAATATCCGAAAATTATGGTATGTGCCCGTTGAGAAGAGTATTGGAGAAGACACGTTCGCGACCTCTCGAAAACTGCTCAATGATTTTCTTATGGTATTAAATAACCTTGGTAGGAGCGAAAAGATGTGATTCTTGGAAGGGAAGTACTTCGGTTTAAACTTGCGTGGGAGATCCTTAGATCAACTCGGAAATAAAAGACAATTGGATAGAAGATGTCATTAAAAAGTATGCATATTCGCATACTTCTTAATGCCAGGGGCCTCTATGTTGATATCAAGATTAAATATCATGAGATAAATGTTAGATTAAAGGATTCATAAAGTCTAAACCGCGAACTGGGTCTTTGACGATATAAAACGGAATATATGACACCTCGAAAATATCATCTCGGTTCTCATACGACGTTCTGAGTAAAACAGTAGATCCTAAAGGTCGTCAGAATAAAACATTGTAACCTCGAAAAGGCCACCTCGGTTAAAGAACAGCTTGTCAGGAAGTCGTAGAAGATTGAGACTCTACCAAAATGCCGACATCATGAAACGGCACCGACTTCAATCCGACAGAAGTGACGCTTGTCACACAGATAGAGGAGCGCTCATACTCATCATTACCTAAAAAGCTTGCCTACGTCATTGCCGCCCCTAAACTGTCAAATCTTCATTAAAATGAAGCTGATTTGTCTAGGGAGGTGTGCCAAGCATAACTATAAATAGCAACATCGAAAACGATACGAGGATTCGGCAAAAGTTATAAAAACTCGCATATTCATCTCGGTTCTCTTGGTGTACCGACTTAGTGTACATTGAAAAACCGACTTCCCAATTCTATAACCGACTTCAAGATTTCCAATAAAAATCTCATTTTTCGCAATCTTTACTGTAATTTTTACTTTAATTACGTTGATTAAATCCGTTTATCAACAAGAATTTTGTTGATTAACCTGTTATGTCCAAAAAGTAATTTTGCACTAATCTTGTTTTTTGGTAATAATGGTACGTATCTCATTTCTTTCAAGTGCGTTAACATCATATTCTTCAGCTACAGTATTACATACCAACATATCCCACAAATGTCTCTTTTGTTTCACTTTATTTTTTATCAAAAAAAAAGAAAAGAAAAAAAAAAAAAGAAAAGAAGAAGACGAATGCCCACTGAATTAATTAAACCTCAAACTGTTGCAACTGAAGATCCTTGGACTTGAGAGGCACATACTCCCCAAGGTAAGCCCCAAGATGATCCGCCAACGACGACTTATCGATATTCTCATGGTGATACGACTTGCACACAAAGTAAACAATAGTCTGCGCGACCAATCCAAAGAGCATCGTAATCGACAACAGAATCACACAAAGCATCCCATACCCAATCCTCTCCCCCAACCCCTTCCCTTCTCCAAAAACCACAAATATCTTAAACATATGCTCAACCCCAAGAAAAAGCAGCGCCAAGACCAAAAACACCGCAGCCGAAATCCCCATTTTACCCCTGATCAAGCCCTTGCTCTTCCTCATCGCCCCAAACCCGTAACTCTGTTCCAGCACAGACACCACGCTCGCCAGATGCCAGATAATGGTTATGTACAAAAGCCCCACCAAATAAACCACCGAGAACAACACAAGACAAACAACCCCGAGAACGCGCACGGGCCCCACAGTAACAGCGCCCAAGACGAGAAGCAGCAAGGACAGGACGTTGTAGGCGAAAACTAACGCGAAGCTGCAGAGGAAAGTGAGGGCGAGCCTCTTCCAGACCTTGGGCACCACGCTGGCGACACGTGTTAGGGTTATCTCCTTGGCGGTGTAGATGCAGGCGATGGTGTAGACGATGGCGGCCGTGGAGAGGAGGGCGAGGAGTATGAAGAAGAGGATGTACGCGATTTTGAAGAGGAAGAAAGCGGTCAACTCGGAGCGGAGCACGTGGGCGAGGCGCTGGTGGATGCGGGTGCCTTCAGGGGTCCACTCAAGCATGAACTCGTTGTGCATGATTTTGCGGAAGAGGATCTCTGTTATCTCGATGTGGGATAGGTAGACGGAGGAGAGGGGAAGGATGAGGAGAAGAGTTATCTGGGCGAAGATTTTTCGCCATGGTGATGAGAGTACGAGGTCGCATGATTCCTTGAGGATGCCGAATAAGCCTAGGAATTGGATTTCCTCTTGTTCTCTGTCCATCATTTGGAGAGATCTGGAGAGGGGTGTGGAGAGAGAAAGCAAGAGATGTAGAATTGGATAGGAGGCGGATATTGATGATGGTGTTTTAGTTATTAAGTGGAAGGAGGAGGGAAATGGAGACTTTTTGGTCTACCTACCATCTTTCTTTATTTTAATCTATTTTACTATTCTCAATGCTAATTTGGATTTGGATTCATGTCTAATATTAATAAATCAAGAAATAATATTGCCTCTCTGTCTCCGTCATCTTCCTCATATTTTGAATAAGAGTCGTTTTGAGAAATTGTACAGTAATTAAAAATTTTTTTTTGTCAATAATAACTCTCATTAATAAGGATAGAGCTGGATATTTTGAGAAAATATGAGGTAGTATATTTATTAGCTAGATGAGAATAATAATAGAAAAATATATACAAAAAATACAAAACGTCATTTATTTATTAATTGGTAATAAAGTCAAAATGACATTACAAAAAATAAGAGGTAGTATTTTTTTCTACCTCAAACATTACATAGCCTCGCTTCCCTTTCTTCATCCTCTCTATTTTATTTCATGATATGCACACAATAAAATAGAGGTGTAAAAACAGAGTTTCACACGGAGCTGTAACATTGCTCCTTTATAAACTTTGTACTCCAATTTTCACCCAATCATCTTTTTCTTTTCTTGAACACAATAATCTTTATTTTTCATTTCAAGCACCCTTTTAGCAAATCGGTACACTTATTCAAATTAAGAATTTATTCGTATTTTTTTTTTCCTAATGCTCCATCTTTTTTAGTTAATGGAATTTTTATGACAATTATACGTGACGTAAAGTTAGTAAGATACAGCCATACCACAATAAAAACAAGTAGGGCTCAGTTTATTGAGAGCCCTATTGCCAATTTGACAGTCTCATTACATGATTAATTAATTTAGCAGATATGATTGTAAATCAAGTGTTTTACATCGGATTATTGAAGATACTTTGTAAGTACGTACTGTTATTGTCTTCTTAAAAAGTCAAACCACGAATTTTAGTTAAGGTCTTTGTATAGTAGACTTAGTGTATGTTTTAGTCTTTTAGAAAGAATCAAAGAAATGACATTTACCCGGACTCCATAAAGTTTTTGTCTTTACCGTAAACCACAATTAAAGCAATGAAGGAAAATAGATGGCCCACTATAGTTGTATTTTCCGGACTAGTCTATTAGTTTAACAGTTGGTATTATATTTGCAAATGAAAATAAATCGTTATTAACTTCCAATACTATGAAATTTCATCAACTGGCTGCCTGGTCAAAAATTGTTTCTCCATGAGAAGGTTCCGGGACAGTTCCTCTTGTCATGCTTTCAATCCAAAAGTCAACAGACAATGCATACGAACCAGTCAGTCAACAAGGCGTGTTTTAGAGTCGTCCTAACGTGATATGGAGAATCCGATCAAAGGATTACTATAATTGCGACCATCGTGGCAACCTTTACTGTACCATCTCAACCATTCCTCCTTAAAAATTGTCCTTTTTAATATATACTACATAAAATTAAGGCTTGGATACAAATATATCCCATCAATTTTTATTTTTTTTTAATCAAAGTTAATTTTGAAAAATATGGTATGATTAGTTGTTATTGAAAATTTGGGATTACTAGTGTGATGCACGGATGGTTAATATTTTTACTATATATATGGTCACGTTCCGGTGAGAGTGGTACTCAGTGAAAGAAATAAGAACAAATCTTAGCCGTTGGATCGAACGATTCAACAGCTAAAAAAAGTCAAAATCTTACATTCACTAATGGTATTATGGGCATTACAATTACACATCCAACTAACTTCGTGGGTCCCACGCCACATTGCCATGCCACGTCATCACCCTCTTTATCACATACGCACTCAAAACATACGCAGACACATGCACACACACACACATACAACACACACTACACATACACTGACACACACCACCCGTCGGCCACTCACCAGTTGCCCTTACCGTCGGCGACCCACTGCTCCGCCCCAACGCCGAGCATCTCGCCACTGTCGGAGCCACCATCTATGCCGTCTACGAATCCCACAACAAACACACGTGGTCGATTTCTGTTCGCCTTCACAAGAGCGGCGCGCCGCCGTTCAAGTCGTCGTCTCCGGCGTCATCCTCCATCGCCAAGCTCAGCATAAACCTCCTCGAATCAGATGCAGCGGCGCCAGAAAAATCGACCTTCAAGCTCGAAGTTCGAGCTTCAATGACGGATTAAAAAAAAATAAAACATCGCCGGACGTCGTCGGACAGCAGCCGCTGAAGGCAGCAACGCCGGACAGAAAAGCTGACGGCGCAGGGGTGGTGGGGGCAGAGGAGTAACAGTTTGGGGTTGGGGTATTATTTTTGAAAATTATATAATGTTCAAGGACTTGATTGCACTTTCATGAATTTTGAATAAATTTCAATTTGGTTCATGTGCCAAATGTGTTATTTATGGAAAGTTTAATAAACTCATATTAATGATAAATAAAATACAAAAATATATTGTGTATATTCACATTAAATATAGTCGCATTATGAGTGCACAATACTGATAGACGAAACTCACATTAATGACTAATTGAATGCACAATAGTGACCTAATTCGAACGAACTAAAATTTTGGATTTCAAATTTTGTATGTCGATTACACTATATATTTTTAATTTTAAAATTTCAGTTATCTTGATTAGATGTGGGATTTATTTTTTCTTTAAATAGTCAAACTAATAGAACTATATAAAAAAAGTATTATTTTTTTATAAATATATATAAATTGGTTGTCAAATAAAAAAAATATAAAAATGTCTAATAAAATATATTTAATACTAAATATTATTTATAATATAAATAATAAATAAATTTAATTATTTAGGTACATAAAAAATCCCGCACTAGTTGTATTAAACAAGACGCACATTAATTATTGTCATACTGCACAACAGTGCTAAACTAAATGAATTTTATAATACAAATAATATATTATTTTAATTTCATTAATACAATTAATCGTCAGAATAACCTAGTTATTTTGGCTCGAATTTAGTTTGATTTCGCACGTGAAAAAACACGCGCTGCAGAATGCAGTATTATTAAACAAAAATCGGGATGGTTCGGTTCGGTTCGGTATGGTTCAGTTCGGATCTTCGAAGATTTCTTATGTTTTTAAAAAAAATTCGAATGACTACCTAGTATTTTAATTTTATATGCTTCAAAATGATTGGACTGAGGCTCAGCTTGTCCGAGCTTCGGTCCGATTTAATAAAATTTCGATTATTCCAAGGCTTGATTTTACCTTAAAATTAAAATCGATACTTGGGCTAAATAAAGTCGACTTTTAAAATTATAAATCAAATAAATTCTCTATGGATTAGACTTAAACTAACTCGATTTAATGCAAATAATAATAATTAAATGTATCAAATAAGGAAATTTGCTATTTATTGAAATAAAGTCGAGCTCTATAAATAATAAAAATATTCAGAGCGTTACACTGAACGCTAATTCTTTAAATATTATTTTCCACAAATTATGAAAATTTCTTTATTTGGAACGTGTAATAATAAACTTGGTAATGTTTATCAATTCTTTGTTTGCCAATTTATTGTTTTTTTTTAAACTCGGTTTGAAAAGGGAAAATAATTTTAAAATCTCAGTCTCAATAGTTGTGCATTTAAAAAAAAATTAATGATATATATTATTTGTTAATAGTATACGATTTTAAAAACCCAATTATAAAATGTATTTTGATATCCAAATCATTTTATAATTGCAGTCGACCTTGTTAAATCTCCACGAAAGTATGGTAAAACAAAATGAGACGATCAACTTTGTATAGAAATAAAATAAAATCAAAAAATCAATATGAAGTTCACAGGAAATGAACATAATTAGTAATTTGAATAGTACACAGATCTCAAAATTAAACTCACGTGTATTCTAAAATTCAAACTTGTACTTATCATCATCTTTTGGAAAATGAATAATATAATGTAGGCAAGATTTTTTAAAATAATTAAAATTTTAATTACTATCTCAAAATCGGTTAGAATCTTAAGATAAGTCAATACTCGATTTCAAAACTCAATCCTTCGAGATAAACACTTATTTATATTGGCAGTATCATCTTTCAATAGTACACAAATTTTAAAATTAGTACTCACGTGTATTTTACAATTCAAATGTATACTTATCATCAACTTTTGGAAATCTATATATATATATATATATATATATATATATATAATTTTTACACATTCTATAGATTAAATTATATATATATGTGTGTGTGTGTGTGTGTGTGTGTGTGTGTGTGTGTTAAATTTAAATGTCCTTAGACATGTTTTGGTTACAAAAGAGTTTAAAAAAAATTTAGGTGAATTCAAATTTTTTAATAATAATATATAATATTTTACATAACTTATATATGTTATATAATATTTCAAGTGTTTTTAGTATTTTAAACACACATGTTTTATGTTATCTTAGACAAGATAATTTTATATTGTAAATTATATTACATGCTAACCACACTTCTTTAATTTATAATTATTATTTAATATTGTTCACTCACTCATTAATTTATATTTATTATTTAATATAATTTACACGTGCATCGCATGGGCTATGCACTTGTTTATTCGGAAATCACATTAGAATCTTCTTCTGTTAGAGCATCTCCAATGCATCAATGTTGTTGTGATAATTACATTTCACACCAACACATTTAATAAAGTCACATATTTTCATCCTCGAATGTACAATGTGATCACAAATATTGCCGTGATGTGAACATAATTAATGTATTCAATGTGGAGAACAATGTTGTTCATCCACATTCTCCTCCACACTCTACCTAGCCAATAAGGTAGCCAATAAGGATAAGAGGGAAAATTATTCTTACCAATTTCAAGCTATTTAATAATTTAATTAAAGTTCTTACTTATTAGAATTTTAATATTTGGTAAGTAGATAACATTTTAGTTAGATTACAT